ACCCTAAAATTTCAGCCTCCTAGACTCCGTGGTTCCCGAAATATTAATTTACCCGTAAAAAACTTTTTTCACGGGGCTGTACACGTTACTCGCAGGTACGGGAAGGCTGAATTTAAATTTGCTGCATCACCCGCTGGCGGGGAACACTATACCAAAATTTCAGCCACCTAACTTTTGTGGTTCCCAAGTTGAAAGTGCGGGGCACACACACAAACACACACACAGACAACCACGTGACAATATGAGTTTTGTACTGCTGTTACACAGCACAAAGCGCATAAAAAGATATCGGTTATGACCTGGACTGCGCGTGAAAACGTTCCCCGAGTTTAGGCAAATTTACGAAAGAATCAGAACTATGAATGTAGCATGAAGACAAACCGTATGTCCTCGATTTGTATCTCTGGCAACATCTTCATACGTTGATTGCACTCCAATTTCCAATCGCGTGCAGCCATAGCTCAGCATCTCATCGAGATGCTTTGGTTGACAGTAATCGGGCCGTGTTTCAATTGTTATACCAATACATTTCACGCGACTTCGCTCACTGAACGCTACTGCCTGCCAATGAAATAACTGTCAAAAAAGTTCCTCGTGAAGGAGGGAGTTAATCGAAAAATTCCAAAGTTTCGCTGCAAGTGCGAAAAGGCAGAAAGTTCGTAAGATAAAAAAGCATAAAAAGAAAATAATAATTTGAAGGGCGAATTTTGCTTTCTTCGTGTATTTAATAAAAATTTTACGTTATTCCTTCTTCAGAAGAGGAAATCTTAATAGTCGTTTTTTTGAAATGAAAGACTGTTCTAACAATCGGTGTAGAAATTCCATATCGCAAAAAAATTACTCTGCAGAAAATCAGTTGCGAAAAAGAATTACTGGTCTTTCGCTTCACAAATTTGTTGCACTTAAAAAAGGATGTAACACGCTCGCATACAGACTGAAAATTAATAGAAACTTTCAAAAATTGAATAATATTCAAAACAAAAAATAAATACCTCGGCAACATTAGTGCTAATATGACCACTGAGTGCATCGTGGAGATTTCGAATGAAATAATCACGATAATCCTCTGGTAACGACATGAATGTACCTCCCATTACTATAAATTCGATCTGAAAAAGGCGCATTATTCGGGAAAATTTCAGATATCAATGAAAAATGCTAGTAAATCAGGAGAGAAATGCGAAGTTAGCGTTTGGTGCACTAATAATATCCCTGCAATTAATTTACGAGTGCTGTAAAAGTACAAAAAACAGACTGCCAATTACAGATAAAAATTCCCTGCGTAAAAAAATGATGAGGAAAGGAGAAAAAAGGAAAAATTTCTTTCAACACTGTCACAACGCCACGAAAAAATCCAAGAAAAGTGCTGGCACGCCTTTGGGCGGCATTGCCTCGGAAGAAATTGACAGTTACGTCTATCTTGATCACAAAGCGAAAGTCAGCCGTATTTCTTGGCCAAAAACTGCCAATCAAGAAGCTACCAATCGACGTAAATGCTAAAGTACTGTCGATATTCCCAAAATGTTGATCAGAATCAACTGCGCCTAGTTCGAGACGATTCTGTTAAGAAAAAAATGACGTATCGATCGAAACTTGATTACTGGCGAAAGCTGGTTGTGATATAAGGAATGTAATGGAGAGAAGGATGCTTGTAAGGTCTTCTGTTGACTATGATAACTGCCACCAATCAAGAAAGCACAGTCCAATCAACAGAGATTTTAACGCTTTGCTAATAACCGGAATAATTCCGTACGAGTGAATGGCACACCAACAGAGGGGCAAAAGAATAAACGACCACTCGAATTGTCTCCAAAAATGTGGCACACATAGGCCGGAGAGGCGGCGAGTCTGAACTGGACAAGTTAAGGTTTGAAGAGACTGACACAGTGCAGACCACGCGTGAATTTATATACACAGATATCACGTTTAAATAAGTCTAAGACGATTAATTCGGCTATTTTTATGCGTGGTTTGCAGCTATGCAATGCAGAAAACGCATACTGACGAGGGGAAGCAAGTGTGTGTCTCTTGAGACCTTTCATCTCGAGACCTACAAAAGCTAAGGGGCTGAAATTATGGGAACTTAATCTACATGCACGTACGGGCTCCAATCCCCAAAATAGGCACTCTTATCCGCGCGGTGCCCACGTACGGGCCCCTGAAAGTTTTCTTCTGGTAAGTTGACAACTCGGGAACCCGAAAAGTTAGAGGACTGAGATTTTAAAAGGATGTTCCTAACAGTCTTGGCGGCCAGTCTGAAATTCTTTTAGCTAGAAGCATCTGCCGGAAAAAACAGTGTCGTTAGCGACAAAAATCTGCGGGGAACTATGCAAAAAACGCCTCTTTGCACGGGCAGCCCGTGCGTTGGCCAGTTATTTAATTCAGATTTTCATAATTAATGCCGAATTCTCAGGCCGAAAGTTTAGTCGCTACTGTGTAATCATGTCAAGATTAGGGCTGTAAATTTGTTGAACAGAAAAGCATAAAACTTCTACCAGAAAACCTGGCACCGAGAACAGCGTCTTCGACGTGCCTCGGCTGGACAGTAAGCGCAGAAAATTTTGTTCGCTGCATAAATAGAACAAAACGAACTTTATCAACATTATGTCCGAGTTGCATTAACTGTGTAATACGGCTTCTCGTTTGCAGGAAGGGATTATAGCGTGCACGGATAGCACGCATTGAGGTTGGCTCATAACCCGTATAGGATTGCGTGCTGTACTCGAAATCGGAATCTGGACCACCGGGACAATACACACAGATATTACCTAAATTAAGTCTACAGCAATTATTTCAGTTATTTTTTAATTCAGATTTCAGTTTTCTAGTTCTAATTTTTCCAATTTTAATTCTAATTAAATAGCTAAATTGAACCCATGCTAGATGAATTCGTCATAAAAATCTCATAAACTTTGATCAAAAGCTAAGTTTTTCAACTTTACAGACGGTAAATTTTCCAGATGTTCTGACCCTTGCTGCGTCTTCTGATAATCAACCTGTTAATGATCCCTGAGATTTTTTTTCTTTCAGAGATATTCAATTTAAGCTGAAACCTCCTAAAAATCAACAATGTAAGGTTTACCGGTGAAATTAATATGTGGGCAACGATGAGGTTTACACATAACTGCAACAATAGCAATGCCACTCGCTGTTCGAATTGGCTTGGCTTTTAACTTTGGCAAAAGCCAACTCTGAAAATAACGATTAATAAATAGAACTGTTCTTACGGTACAAGAAATCGACAAATTACGATAAATTAGCTTTCGAATAAACAAATATTTTGGCACCTAACAGTACTACAGTATGGTGATTTTCATATCCAAAGATTTATCTAAAAAACAATCTCTTTCGAATAAACGCTCTAGTATAATAAAATAAAATCAATTAATTTTCTTAAAATTAGAACTCTCAAATTTGTATATCTCATAAAA